TGATCTTTCTTCTGGGGTTAAGTGAAGGTGTTTCACTAATTTGGGAATGAAATTGATGCTGATAGCTTCTTCCAGAGTGTGGAGGAGGGGTCCGATATCAGGGATAGTGTGCATCAGGTAGTTCCAGTGATGCTTGACTCCACGGGTGAATGCCGCAAAAGCCGCATGTGGCTCTGTGTTAGCAATCTCAGACAGAGCTTGGATTTCCCAAACCCACTCATTCACCTTTCCCGTTACGTACTCGGCCTTGAAGTCCGTCATGCCGATTATTGCGCCTGGGTGTTTTTGGCCATCCTTTGTTATTTTGACCTCACTTCCACCGAACACCTCCATTGCCCGTTCATAATGTTCTGGTTTCACAATGAGGAAGGACTTGCTGGCATTTGGGTGGTACCCTATTTGTGGACCTCGTGATGTTACCAGGTCCCACCACTTTTTGATGTCCTCCACTTTTCCTGCTCCTGTAAGGTCGTCAGCGTACGCCACTTGCTTGACCGCAGTTGTTTCAATTTTTATTGTGTGTTGGATCACTGATAGGCCTATTGCGTACATTGCCATTGCAACAGGGTCCCCCTGGGTTGTTTCCTCGGTTGACTGTATGGTGGTATCACTTCTTAGAGCCCTGTTGTTTACTATATAGAGGTCTGATGGATTCCTATAGGAGTTTTCAACATACATTGCAAAGCTTGGACACTTGATCTTGATGTTGTGCATTGCGGCCTTGTGGTTAAGTATGTTGAATGCGTTTGAAGCGTCCACCAGGAGAACGGCCTCACAATCCCACTGCTCAAATATCCTTCTCATGGCGTGAAAGGCAGCTTTCCCTCCAGCCTGGTGGCCAGCACAAACTTGCAGGTTCCCTGCTGCTGCCCTGACATCATTCTTTACCACCTCCATTATGCATTTTCCGATGATCCGCCTCAGCACTTCCCCCACCCCTATAGGCCTACTTCCTGGATTCTTATCCAGGGGAATGAGGCAGCAGGCTGTCAGAGCATGGAGGTGTTGGCAGCACGAGGTTGCCAGCTTTCTTGCAAGGACGGCAATGGCAGTGCAGAGATCACTTGCTATGGGGCCAAACTTGTTAGTGCTGAGGATGATTCTCCAACAATTTGCATCCAGACCTGAAAGGCCGACACCTCCCTGAGTTTTCAGTGCCTTTTTCCGCACCATCCCTCCTGTTATTTTCTCGAACAGGACAGCATTTGGTGGGATATAGTCACCCTGGAACCTGATGCCCTCTTCTTCGCTTGCAGGGGGATGTTTTTCTTTCAGTTGTTTTAATGTCTCTCTGTTTATTGGCAGAACCCCACCGGAGGATTCCTCTGTGAGAGATCTTACCGCCAAAGACACTTTTCCCACACGCATTTTGTTTCCAAACTTTCTTGCAACGTCATCGATGTTTTGCTTTCCGTCTCCTATAAATTTTAGTCTCTCCTGCAGTGTTCTTGCTTCACATAGGAGATTATCAAGGGCCCCATTCTGCCACATTGTCAATTTTCTCTTCATTGCTGCAGCATTTTCTTTGTGCTTAATCTTTGTGTGTGTCCTCTGACAGAATAGATGTGGTATTATTGCCAGTACAGGTAGTCCCCAACTTACGACTGCTTGGACTTACATCCATCGGTACTTACGACCTGCTCTGACCTTACGACCGTCGGGACATACGACCGCTGCAGTCGTGACCAAAAATATTTTCAAATGACGCGTGCATTTTCTATACCGAAACGTTTCTGTCCCGGGCGAGAGCATGGCGGGCTCGGGTCGCCGCTTGGGTACACTCACTCAGTGGAGCGCTTAGTTGGTGTTTGGCTATCGTATCCTATACTGATCGCGCTGTGAACTTTCGTTATTATCGTATTTAATTGACTTTATAATGACTGGAAAGCGTAAAAGTGAGAGTGCTGGTGGTGCTCCAAAGAAAAGGAGACGGGCAATTACTTTTGAGATGAAAATGAAGATAATAACTCAGCATGAGAATGGAAAAACTGTAGCAACAATCTTAAGTGACCTAGGTTTCTCACACTCGACCATATCCACTATTCTGAAGGACAAGGAACGTATTCGTGATGTAGTGAAAGGAACAACACCTATAAAGGGAACTATAATTTCAAAGAAAAGACAAGGTCCTATTCACGATATGGAAAAATTATTGGTGATATGGATAGAAGACCAGATGCAGAAGTGTGTACCCTTAAGCCTTCTAACCATACAGGCTAAAGCAAGAAGCCTGTTCCAAAGCCTGAAGGAGTAGGCAGGTGATGAATGTGATCAAACCTTTGCAGGAAGTCATGGGTGGTTTGATAGATTTAAAAAACGCTACAGTCTACACAATGTTAAGGTGAGTGGAGAGGCAGCTAGTGCCGATGTTGGTGCTGCCGAAGCTTTTGAGGAGGAGTTAGATGAAGTGATTGTGGAAGGAAATTATTTGCCTGAGCAAATATTCAATGTGGATGAGACTGGATTATTGTGGAAGCGCATGCCTGAGTGGACATACAGTTTCAAAGGAGTTAATGAAAATGAAGTTATTTCGGATATTAGTTATAAGATAGTGGAGTTAGAAATTGAGAATGAAGATGTTGAACAGTTGGTTGAAAGTGTAGCAGAAGAGCTCAGTAACGAGGATCTTATTGAACTAGATGCACAGAAAATTGCAGAGGAAGAAGAGAGACAAAATGTAGAAGAAGAATCTTCACCCCCCAAAAAGTTTTCAGTGAAACAAATGGCAGAGGCATTTGCTACAATTAATAAAGGAATGCAAATGTTTGATGGCATGGATCAAAATTATGAGCGTTATGCCAAAGTTGACAGAATGATCCAAGATGCACTTGCTTGCTACAGAGAAATTTATAATGAAAAGAAAAAACAAACTGTGCAGTCTAAATTGGACATCTATTTTGAGAAGTCCCCCAGTGCTGTCTCCTTACGCCCCACCAGTGCTGCCTCTTCACTCCCTCAAGATGATCCAATACCTTCAACCAGCAAGTTTTCACAGTACCTAAACCTGTCTGAAGAAAGCGACATTGATGACCCACCCAGCCCTGTCTCCTACTCTGCTTCATCCAATTAATATAGTCTCCATGTATCCTGTAAATAGAAAATTATGGGGGCCTCGTGTGCATTCAGCTGAGTACATTAAAGGTCAGTGCTCAGTCACACTGTATCCATTCCTCATTATTTATTACTTTTACTGTACTGTATTTCATTGTAGATTTTTATTTTTTTTTAATTTGAAATTAAAAAAAAATTAATTTTTTTTTATCTATGTCGGACTTACGACCAATCGGACTTACGACCTGGATTTGGGTCCCTAATCCCGTCGTAAGTCGGGGAGCACCTGTATTTGAAGAGCTAAAGGGGCAAGGAAGCAGTCCTGAGTGTACTCGGTTATGAGGCGAATCATCTCCTGAATCATTTATTTGGTGGCCGCACACTTAGGGGGTTCAAACAGGTTAGCTGGCAACCACCTGACAATTTATGAGTAAGTTTCTTTAACCCATATGTCTGCATTTTCCATCTACATGCCATTCCACTGTGGTGGCTGTCTCTCATTCACCTTGTGGACATCTGCTACTATTGGAGCAGCATTTATTAGTACTACATTTTCAGGTTGGTTAGACTCACTGCTATCATTTAGGATATTTTCGGATGGTTGGGTCCCGGCGATATCCACTGTGGCCTCCTGTGTTGGCTCCCTGCCTTGTGGGTTCCGAAAATTGTTTCCCTCTCTGCAAACCACACATGGTCGGTTGTTTCTCGCACAATCACAGCTAGTGCAATTTTGGTTCTGGCTAGCACAAACTCAACAATGTCTGTTACCCGGCATAGTGTTCCGCACTTTGGGCGACAGTTACGTCCTCCTCCCGCATCTGCTTTGGTCCCATACAGAAGAAAATAGTTCTTATGAGGAAAGGGAGGAGAGGTGACAGGCTGGACTGCTGTATACGGGTAGTAGGGGCATACGAGCTCGCGTGGGTGTGTAGGCCACCCCTTTGGTCGGCCTACATGAAGTGACCGTTACTGTACTTGCGGGAGGAGACTGCATGCGTAGAACACTTGGCCCCATAGGGGCGAGAGTCTCGACGCCACCCCTGCCGAAGTAGGCCTATTGACACTGGCACCTGCACTAGCCGTCCCACCAACCACTCACCACTCGCTTGGTGATCGCCGGTGAACACACGGAATATTTGCAATTAATGTCGTAAGGGATGAGAAGAACGTTCGGTGACAATGCTTAGGGTGACTACTACTACTACTTTTTTTTTTTACACGTGGCCTCCAGCCTCCCCCAATAGCCACACCTTCGCCACCATTTAATTACCTTAATATTTAATTTCCTAATACATAAGAAGCTATCCTATCTGTGTTAAATTAGTTGAGCCGCAGATCTATGCGGCATTCAGTGACAGTAGCCTCATAGTCAATATCTGCAGCAGTTGTCAGAGTTGGGGCAGAAGCTCTCGTTCCCGTGAGGCAGAGCAAAGCCGACCGAAGGAGAGAGAAAGACAGTCGACATCTCATCCAGGCTGTAACATAACTTCTGGGCTGCTGCTTCTGTTCGGAGATCAACTCCGCGAGTCTGGTGTAGAAACATCTTGCACTTGGTCCCATCCCACCAGAGATTGTGAACACTAGAGGAGTGAAGCTGCCTTGATCAACGTTTTGAATTCTCAATTTTTTTGAGTGAATTTACAAAGTTGATTTGTTATCAGTAATTGCTATCAAGTTCTAGTTGGTAAGTGCCATAGATGTTTCCAACTAGAACAGTGACATTTCTTCAGGGTCGAGTTCTTGTCCCCTTTAAAACCACAAAAGTGGAAATGATAAATCATTTCTTTTTCAGTGGTTTGTAGAAGTAATGGTGGTTTATCAGCAAATTGTTTTATATCACAAAAAATTAAATAATATATTTTGTTGGGAAAATTAATGTAATGCCCTCATTTATTTTTTATTTTAATTATGATAATAATAAATGAAGACACATATCTTCTTATTGTCAGGTTACTATAGGTGATACAGCTATCACCCTTCCATATATCAGAAGAAATATCAGGGTTATGAGAGACCTCCACCATCTGGTCGTGAAAACCAAGGATTCACTAGGACGGGATGTAGTTACTCTCACATGTTGGGTGTCATACCAAGCATGTATAGTGAGTGTAAGTGGTTGGTTCCATGCTGACACCCTAGGACTCCTGGGGAATCTTAACTTGGAGCCTGCCGATGATCTCACGCGACCCAGTGGAAAGGTTAGTTGTTTATTATTTGGTACTGTACACTGTATTGTCATATGATGTATTTGCTGTACTAAGTAATTATATTTAGTCAGAAGTATAGTCATTGATCACACCAGAGGAATGAAAAGGGATTTTACACTTTGCAAAAGAAATATTGATTAAAGTGAAAACTGTATTGAAATTTTGTGGAATAAATCTGCATATTTTACCTCACTTTTGTGTAGATAATGAAGACCTTAATGACTGTATATACTCATAGATAAAAAAAAATCCCAATGGAGTTTTTTATTTATTTACAACTTTTGTCTGTTCTTTGTTAGTGTGTTATGAACTTATTGTCCAGTGCAAGTACTGACAAAAACTGGTGTACAGTACATGGAGGAAATCTTCATTTTTTTCTATTATTATATGTCCCCAATACAGTGAAAAATGTGTGTGTCCTATACAGTATTTGATCTTGTATTATAGTTTTTAATACACCAATTAGATCTAAAAGGTCCACACAGTAATATACTGATGTGTCTGAAACATTCATATTAAACAGTTATGTTTCCAGACCCTGACTGTTTACTACGTACATTAGTTACTTATGTATTTTCTGGTGTTCATGTATATTGTACAGGCCAGATAGAAGCACCACCCATCCTTTGACCCCAATCTGAAGTTCAGTTTTTAACTCCCCAAAAACTTTAAAGAGAACACATTTTTACAGCTACCTGTACATCAATCCTTCCATCTGTTCCAAACTAATTGTCTGGTCAATAACTTTCCTCTTTTGCAGTAAACCAAAAAACACCTTCTATTTTGTTTGATATGAAATGCTGTTAAGAAGAGGATATCAACTACTTGTGTTTTACTGCAGGTTGCTCTGAGTGGGGAGGTGTTTAGTCACAGCTGGCGTGTTAGTTCACACTGTCCACCTGAGAGAGCCGAGATAGAAACCCCGCATGATGTTCGGGCCCAACATCTCTGTGACAAGTTCCTCCATCACTATACTTCTCCAGTTTTGTGAGTCAATAGTAATGTTGTTATATATTATGTTTTGCATATAACACTTATGATGAAAGTCATGTAAAATATTTTCCATAAAGTCTCTACAAATGTAAAGGTAATATTATATTGATGTGGTCATTCATCTCCCTATTACCATTACTTGACACCTTCTACATAACAACCTAATTTCTTCAAAACCTTATACAGTACTGTATTTTATACTCCTGTCCAACAGCACTTGATCGAAGATGAGTTTCCTTGATAGGACAGCATCTATCAAAGGGTAGTTTATTCAGTCACGGCTTGGCTGCAGAATAAGATCTCAAAATTCTCATTTCCTCAACACAATATATATATATATATATATATATATATATATATATATATATATATATATATATATATATATATATATATATATATATATATATATATATATATATATATATATATATATATATACATACAGTGAGCCCTCACTTTACGCGGTTAATTCAACCCACGGCGGCCCGCGTAAAGTGGATATATCTTGAATAAGGAATCCACAGATTCAGATGGATTAGTGAACAAAAAGACTTAGCTCTAAACAATGTTATCCATGGCCTGTTAGAATCAACGTTACACTCAATATTATCCAGCAACTGCATGTCAGTCGACAGCAGCCTGTTTCCACTCGCAGTAACCAACACTTTTGCCCCAGGTGGAAGTGGTTGCCAAGATGTGGATAGGATGAAATCAGTCTCAACAGGTTCTTCCTGCTCAAGAGACTGAATACTATGATTAGAACCAGGCTCATCGTCCTGATCCTGGAATCCACTGAAATCAGATTGAGTAGATAGAGGTTTCTGTGGACTTCCTACTACCTCACAGTCTGGAGGGTCCAATAACTTATTTTTCTTAGTAGCAGCAGTCTTGTCTAAGTGGGGATTAAGTCTTTTACCTAACACCAATAATCCTAAACCTTCTGCTAACTTGGGATATTTCCATTGTTGTACATTCAAAAATTTACTCTTCAAGGCCTTATTCCACCTATTTTTAATTTGTAATTGCAATAAATCTTTCTTATCACCTGTACCTTGATGAAATTGAAAAATTTGATCATAACAACTGCACAATCCATTGGTGAAAATAGGTTATTTGAGACACAGCTGCCATGAATTATGCAAGCCACATGAGGATCTATCTTAGTAATCCAAGTCGCTGTACATTTTTTATAATTACATGTAGTATGGCCCCCTTGGGTCTTGGGTGAAACTACTACTACTGAATTCAAATTCTCTACTGACAGACAATTCCTTGACTGTAGTGCCTGAGCTGAACTTTCTAGTCCTTGTAGCTCAGCACTCAATAGTATCTCCTCAGGGACAGTTCCATAGTCTCCTCCATTATCCTTAGGCCCGGAGTCCTGACCTTCATCCTCCAGTTGAACATCACTCATCTGAACTAGGAGGATACCATGAGTCACTTTATATCATTATAACACAAAGTAATAATAATAATTAATAAGGGAGAAAGCATTTTCTCCCAAACTTAATCAATATGACTCATAAATGTTATATTATTCGTAAGTTAGTGTTATACAAGTCACTCCTATGACCAATATAAACAATAACTCACTATTTCGTATCTGTCTCTCGACTCTTATTTATCAAGTATCCCTTAGCTCAATGAAACTTATTTATTTAAATTTGTTTTTATAAAATAATTTCATTCAGAACATTTATTGAGAGGAATCATCAAGATCTTTATTTGTTGCCAATCAGGGGCACAGACATTATCCCCAAGTAAACACTTAAGGGAAAATTCCTACGTGCGCACTATCACCCGGCAGGGTTGACAGTGCTGAGCCGCTAACATAGCGATCTATTGGCAGCAAAGTTCACTGTTACTCTAGCAATATTTATTGGGTTGAGAATTCCACCCTGCATTGGTCTCATATAACCCATAGAACGTGTAAAGTCCATTTCAACATAACTCTAGATTGCTAGTAAGACCGGAAGGTCAACATTCCGGAAGGAACGCTAAGTCTAGCAGCCTTGCTAAAGTTCGCCTGAACCCGCTACTGAGGACATCAGAATTATGAAGAGACAAACTCAACTCTAGCCTTTTTGCTGAGAACAAATAGAAACCCAAGGGTGGAACCCCAAAGGTTTTGTGAACATACATAAGAGTACGGAGAGAGACATTCATTGTATTCATATTAGCACGTGAATAATTGGGACAAAGAGATCGTAAACAATATACATATATATGTATACAGTATATATAAATAGATATATTCACATACGTATTCTCTTTTAGTGAAGATGAGCCCGGAGGGCGTAGCGACATTCACTGAGTGACTTAAAGGCAAGGGATAGTCACAACGATCTAAACGACTCACAAAGAAAATGTGTTTTGGTCGCCATGCTGACCCAAAGTCGTATAAGAAACTGTCCCAAATACAATAATTGAGAGACAAATACAAAATAAAAGTCACTCTACTTCATCACTGTGCTATTAAGTACAAATACCGTATATAATATCCTTGCGGAGGTGAGTATTTCAGCAATTAGAGCACAAATTCGCGGAGCTTCCCTTTGTGTGTATTATAGCTGAATCGCCAGGCAAGAGAAGAGGTTTGCAGTGCGTATAGTGGCTAGATGAAGGAAGGACTTTGAAAATAGCAATTAAATGCCAGGTAGCGACATGTCCTCCTAATATTACTTATTAAGTAATTATTAGATGTTTAAATTACCTGTATGTTGGGCGAATTGGCTAGGAATTAACATACCTAGGTAGCATTTGCTGAGCGTCGCATTCATGAGCTTGAACAAAAATTGGATTTTTTGATTTTGGCCCTTTTTGCACTCAGCCAGAGAATTTCTCTTTCCTTTGTGATCTGTAATAGCCTCATTGATTTTGACCTCACAGTCAGGGCAATACCAGCGACCAATTCATTTTTTTTTATTTAGCAGTGTCCTAAATTACTTACCATCCTCAACCTCGCAATCTTTGCAGAATTTCTCCTTACGGAGTTGCAGTCATACACCCTTAACTTATAGTCTGAGGCTCTCCATATGTCTCTCTAAAAAATATGAAATTATATTTTCCACTGTACAGTAATCTATTAGAAACAGAGTTTGACCAAGACCACATATCACTTAACTTTCAGTTCTTGTCATGATGCTGCTGACATCATGCCATTCTATGATACTTGCATGAAGCATCTTGCGTCATTACATAATGGTGGTAACTGGACTGAGACCAAGCTCCATGTGGACATCACTAAAGGTGTTGTTGCAGATACTCGTAACACCAGAGATAATATTGTACGTAACAGTACAGATGACAGTACATCTAAAGCACGTGAGACAGATGAGAACAGGAGCACTTCTATTAACTACAACACAACTGACCAGATCAGTGTTCGAGATGTGCTTTTCCCCATTACTAAACACAAAGATGCACTGATTGATGCCACCATAGAAGAAGTTGCTGCCGTATGTGACGTGTTGGCTGCGTATTCAACCGTGTGTGGTGAGCGAGATGTTAGACTGCCTCTGCCATTTATATGTGGTGAGTTGTAAATCATCAAGTTTGATGGGTTTTATACATATACATGTTGGGTTTTATTTGAATATAATACAGTGTAAAACTTAATTTCTTCCGTTTACAAAAATGTTGCCAATTTTAGTATAGAAGTCAATGTACTCCGTGCCATATCTAACTTGTATTTTATACAGTCATCTCTCGATTTACATGAATTTAATTTGCTCATTTTTTAAATAACACCAGCATTAAATTAATGACTATTTTTTAAATAATAAAAAGTTTTGAAATAGCACGGTTTACAAAAGAGCGTAGTTCAAGGAAACAGTAACATCACCTGAACCTCGGCCATCGACATCTGGCATCTCGAAAGCTTCCACTACTCCTCCCCCATCACCTGCTGTCATCTGATTCAGATGACTCCCTCCCCCAATAACCCCCCACCTCTCCTCCACCACCACCACCACCACTAGTTCCCACATATATATTGAAGGAAGTAGATAAGCAAATCACAGTTTTTATGGAGCATTTTCCCTAACCCCTGACATTTCCTTTATTTCTTATGGGATAATTAAGTTTGATTTACAAGGCCATTTTCAAGAACGTAACTACTGTGTAAATCGAGAGATGGCTTTATGCTTTGTCACATCCATTCCCATTAAGGATTCCTCTGTACCAGGATACTAACTTATGTATTTCTAACCAGTTTCTTTATGATACCATATCTGTATCTAGTTTCTGCTTGTCAGGCCAAGAGAATCAACTGACCTTCAAAGAACCATTGTCACCAGTGCCACAACTTGATCTTGTGCTGCTGATCAATGAAGAGAAGTGTGACAGTTTCATGTACCAACACCTGATACGTCCCCTGCCCCCAGTACTAGAGAGAATTGCTCAAGGAAAAAACATAAGGTACTCCTAATGGCATCGACGGTTCCATGACAAAACCCCAACGGGGTTGTCATTTATCAACACTAATCTAACCTAACCTAACCTAACCTAAACATAAAAGTGTTTTATTTTATATTTTATATATGAGACTGGGGTTTTGTCCGTTGGGGTTTTATCCGGTCACCAGCATCGACAACTGTTGTAGCTCTACCTTAGGGCTGTAGAGGTTTAAGACTAAGAATTTTTAAGTCCTTAACCTGCCAACTGATTCTGTTTTAAGTGTACTTGTATAATGTTAGACTTATCCTGAATTTAGAAAGACAGGTGTCATTTGTCTCAGCAGCATAAGAGTACCTGGCATTTGTTTTAGACTTGGAGTCCCAATATTTGGTGTTTCAGATTTACTATATTCTGTACAGAGTTCTAGCTAAGGCAGTTATCAATGGCTGGGCTTACTTCCCAGGACAAAAGATGTGAATACTGTATAATTCACTCGCTTTAGATCACCAGCCAGATTTTTATAATAACAATCCTTCCATTCCTCATGTACTGTGTATCATTATTGTCTAACACTAAAATATGTCTGGGCAGAATCCTCTATATCTGTTTTTTGTGTAAGCCGATAGAAAAGGTTAATTTATTAGAATACCTGTACTGTACAGTACTTGGATATTGCAGAAGAATGAAGTCTCTAATAACAGCCATCATTGGGACCAGATCGTTTACATATACAAAGGTCCCTCGATTAACGAACACAATTGGTTCCAGAGAGTCGTTCATTAACCGAAAATTTTGTTAACTGAATCTATTATTTCAATGGGATATTGGGTAATTGGTTCCAACTCACAGAAAAAGTACATACAAAGTACTGTATACCAGTAATAGAATTAACAAAACATTAAATATAAACTAAATACATTACTGTCCTGTACAGTATACTGTATAATAATAAATTAAAAACAATTGAATACTGTACTGTATTTTAACTTACTTTGAGGTGTGTATGTCATATTCCCGGCAGCTTTGTTTACATATCAAACAGCTGATTGTAGAGGCAGTCAATGATGACATGTCATATTCTTTACAGAGTGTATTGGTTCTAATGCCTTTTTCACGTTTCATAATAATTTCTGCACTGTATATTATCAATATGTGAACTAAATTTCAGAATGACCAATAATTTTAATGTAAAAATGCAAAAATATTCAAGTGACCAACAAACTGGATGTTCTTTCCACTGTAAACAAAGTTAAACTGAGAAGCGTTGTTGGGTGATTCGATCAGCTGATTGGCACACTAAAACTGTTCCCTGTACTGTATATATTATCAATATGTTAATTGAATTAGAATGACCAATAATTTTAATATAAAAAATTTAAAAATATTCAAAAGTACAACTTTCTTGATATTTACTCCATTGGAAATGAATGTAAACATAGAACCAATTACTGTATTGGCGGACTAGCCGATCAGCTGATACGCACAAAAAAGCGTGTTTCTCATAAGGCTTTCGTTAATCAAAGTTTTGTTCGTTAATGGAATTGAAGATCCTTATGGGAGCTAATTCGTTAACTGAAATTTCGTTAATTGGACCGTTCTTTAATCGAGGACCACTGTACATAGTTGATTTTGTCAGAAACCTAGTGTTCTAAGTAATATTACAGTTATTAGTTAAACTTAGTGTTATTGTATTATTGCACTAAAATTTACCTGCTGCAGTACAAGATAAGAACAGAATACAGTGGTCCCTCGGTTAACGAGCACAATTCGTTCCAGAAGGCCGTTCGTTAACCGAAGTGAAGAATCTTATGGAAGGTAATTTGTTAACCGAGACGTTCGTTAACCGAGGGATCACTGTATTGTAAACATAAACAGCAGAACCTGTACATATTTATAAACCATAGTTCCATTTTCTGTATATATCTACAGAAATATGTATACAGGTATCCCCCAATTTATGATATTTAATAATGATGTTTTATGACCACCTCCCTATTTACAAAAAAAAAATTGGCATGAACTATGGCCACCATTTGGCCAAATTCGCTGAAACGTGGAAAACTGCACAGGTATCCCTTATTTAACAATTGGAATGCTTTCCTGGAAAACCCATCATTAATGCAAAATGATTAATAAACGAGGGATGACGAGAAATAATATCCTAAGCGAGGGATAATGAGGAAAAATATCTGTGGAGATGGCATGTAACTCAAGGTAGGTAGATACCAGGTAGCCTCACTCCCATAGGATCTACGCTAATGAAAATAAAAATGAAATTTTTATTTATGTATTTTTGAAGGCTTATGATGGTATTAAAAGTTGTACAATAAATGTATGGAATGGAGATTTTTTTTTATTTTAATTGGAGCCACTGATTAAATATGTAAAATAAATACAAATATCTTACTTGCGACGCTTGCGACCGCTGGATTTCATCCAACGTTGCTGATTGGCTAGTGATGACATCACTTATTAAGCTCCGCCCACTTAGTTACATCAAACAGTAGAAGCAGATAATAATACCTCAATATTACAAACGCATGAAGTGGCAAAAGGGGCGTGGCTTAACAATCTCGAGAGTAGAGTTTACAATTAGTGAATTCCTATGGGCCTGCATGAGGCTACCTGGTATCTACCTACCTTGATGTAACTGTGTAGCAGAGTATCTTGACTTGCCACCCAGTAGCACTCAGGGTGGGTGAGGCTGAGCTGTAAGCTATGTTATTGTTCAACCCTCAATTTTGGGTAGATATACAGGTACATAATTTCGTTCATTTTTTTTTTTTTTTTTACTGTTACATGCACACAATTGTTCATACTGAAAGTGTAAAATATACAAAATTTAAGTAATTATCATAAGGTCAAGAAAATAAAGGGACTAAACATTTCTTACACTGGAATTAGCTCTCAGTGGGGGAGGGGGGAGAGGCGTGGGAATCGATCAGCTGTTCTCTATCTCGTGTCACATGAAATGATTACCAAATGGCAACGCAGTATTTTCCCTTTATCTTATATATTATTTTTATTTTTATTTATTCCTCACATTTACTGTGATTGTGAAGTGTTTTTACATTGTTTTTGTGTCTCTGAAGTGAGCAGTGTAACTTTTAAAATGTCTAACAAGTTGTTGCTGAAGGCTCCTACTTCTGGGAAGGCCTAGGCACTCAGGAAAACTGTGTCTCTGGAAGTTAAGCTTGACATTGTGAAGTGGCCAGGCTTGTTCTTAATGATGTGGTGAGTGTTGTTTAATTGTTTTCTATTTATTTTGTTAGTGTAGGAATTTTTTTGTGTGTGATACATGTGGGTGTCAAACTGGCTGGGAACATATTCCATCGAACCCCATGTTATAATGAACTCAATTTACAATATTTAAATTTGCGATGGGGTTTTCATGATTATAATCCCAGAGTAAATCAAGGGATATTTGTATAGAGTATTGTAGCTGTTTATGATAGTATAAAAGTTACCCTTGACTCTTTATATATACTACCTGTACAGTAATTATACAAGATACTATAGATTACATAACACTGTATATGAAATGATTTATTCTTATAAAAAACTAAAGTTAAATCAGCACATTATCTTCATCATCCACACTACTGTACATGAAGTACTTGTAATGCTTAGAATGTCATTGCTTCATTATTTAGCATCAACTGTGCTCCCCTTCTCACAAATTTACAACACTTAATTACAAAATTAACAATTACAACTCTATCAAAATTTGACATTCCAGTATAGTAGTTATTTGCACAGATCAATGACCCACATCAGGGCCTGGGGGCGAAATTCTAAAAATAATAATGATAATACTGTAATAATAATAATATTAAAATTTTTAAAAAATATTAAATGAAAATATAATAATATTAATAATAAATAATAAAAAAAGTAAAAAAAAATTAATAGTGGGAAATAATATAGTATGTATGTTGTGTTGTCAAGTAAGAGAAACAATTTAAACCCTGCAATTGTGTGTAAATAAGGCAGAAAGTCAGATCAGCAACCTGGGACTTGGTCACAATTTTTGTGATGCCATATGGCAGCAGGATGTACCATTAGACAATACATTATGCTCCCAATATCTTCCCAGGTGGTAGTACCTCCCTGTTTGACAGCCTCCTACTACCTATATGGCAGGTACAGTACTTAACATTTGCAATAATAGTCTAACAGATAATTGAAAGCCAACTATAATTTACAGAGAGTATTACAGTATTATAATAAAATGGACCTCAACAGGTACTATATTATATCTAAATGTTCTGTATTTATATCAATGCCTAAATGTCTATTGTTAACAAACACCTTTCCACAGTGATATACAAATTGGTGTGATGGGGTATGGTTCAGGTGGTGGTGATGTCATCTACCACGCCTCTGGAACATCACTGCTTACACCAGTCTCACAGTTCAAGATAATACAACCTCGTAACAAGCAACATCCTCGGGCATCGCTCCTGCAGGGTCTAAAAGCAATAAGCACCTTTCCGTTTCGACCTGGATCTGTACGGGTGGCTTTTATTGTACGCTGCGATGACTACGACCTTCCAAGGGTTAGTTGTCAAATATTAAATTGTTATTGTATTTATTATTTATTGTATATTGTTTTGATTCCATTAGGTTTAACAATGTATCACTTCTTTTGATAAATTCTTGAAATTGCTAAGATGGAAAAGATAGGTGGAGGATAATTTTAAAAGAACATTTCTGTTCATTATTAAACGATGCCCATTTTTCATAAGTAAGTGTGTGTGTGTGTGTGTGTGTGTGTGTGTGTGTGTGTGTGTGTGTGTGTGTGTCCTGAATTGGTTGAGAAATACAGTAGCTGTTAATGTCCATTCAAATAATGGACTCAACTCCCCCCCCTTCCCACGCTCGCTGGCTCTCCTCCCTCCCTGAGAAATGTTTGGGTGAAAACACTAGGTTTTTAGATTTGGTAATAAATAATACCTCACACTATGGTTAGGATAACATAATTGACATTGCTGGATTCCTTGCAAGACTGCGAATAATTTGAATATAAACGTCATATATTTTGCACAAAAGATAAAATTTTTGCTCTCTCTAATAAAATTCTTAAATTAGATTTAAAATTTGTATGTCTAATGCAAATGTTAGGTTGTTTATATTTAAGTTAATTACCATCTTATAAGAATTCCAGCAGCAATGTAAATTATATTCTGGCTGGGTAATTTCTATGAATTTTATGAGCTAAAAACATATCTTCAGCTGGGCGACCTTGTGCGCACCCTGCCCGTGCCGCTTCCCGCTTAAATGATGGAATGAACCGTGTAAATAAAAATTGTCGGTCTGGCAAGGTGGCGCGTAAATGACCAAACGCGTAAACCAAAACCGGATTTATCAAGTTAACAACTCCGGATTCATTATCGTAAACAGTTGTATTAGAATTTTTTGAATTTCTGTTCAGAGTTAAAGGCCTTCAAGGATCGACAATTGCATCTTATAAATCAGCGTTGGTTGACCCTCTGGCTTGGGGTTTTAATATTACCTTGAACCCAAGGCTTAATCAAATGCTAAGATCGTCCTTTTTCATTCAGAGACCTCCTCGACCCGAGAGAATCCCGCCTTGGTCTCTGGAAAAAGTTACTAATCTTCTTATGGGGCCTAATTACAATATAAATCTGAACAGGGATAAATTACTCCAGAAGGCAGCTTTCCTTCTAGCAATAGCAACGGATATGAGAATCAGTGAACTGATTTCAATTTCCAATAATCCATCATTATTGGTATTTTCTGACGAGGATGTTATCCTTTTTCCGACGGACATCCTAAGAAAAAATGAAAGGGAAGATTTCCAAGCTCAACCTATTTGGATAAAACGTCTACTGGATGAAACTAGGGTTCCTCACATTTTGTGTCCAGTTAAAAATCTTCAGGAATGGTTAACCAGATTCCCTAATGGAGGCCCTTATGTTTTCTCATCAAGGGATGGTAAGAAATTATCTCCTAGTCAATTGACAAAATCCTTATCTCAACTAGTGAATCAAGCAGACCCTGGCAAGAAATTTTTGGCACATGACACTAGGAAATATGCAGGGTCTGTGGCCTTTCTGCGGCATATGAGTCTCAGTCAGATCAAGGAAATGAGCTTATGGAGATCTTCAAAAACTTTCAAAGACAGCTATCTTCATCTATCTCTGAGAGATGCTTCAAATGTGGTGGTGGTGGGTTCCCCTCCCCCATCTATTCAGTCTCCACTACCAGGACCTTCTTCCTCATTAGAATAAAGTGAGTATCCTTTTTGAGTAAATTAACATTTTACCTTCCGGTAAATGTTCCTAATTTTGGAAATTTTCAAAATAGTTTACGTAAAATATAATCAGGACCTCAGTCAGCGGAGCCTTGTATGCAAAGTCACCTGCCTCTCCACCTCCTACTTGGGTATTCTTGCTGAGCGTCGCATTCATGAGCTTGAACAAAAAGCCGTTTTTTTCTAAAAACCAGTTTTTGTGATATAGCTCAAATGCAACGTCCCATAACCCACCCATCTCCACCCCTCGAGAGTTGACTTTTAATTACTGCTCTCTCTGAGGCAAGAGATGAGCTTCGCAGTGCGCTTGGAGGCTAGATGAGGGAAGGACTTTGAAAATAGCAATTAAATGCCAGGTAGCGACGTGTCCTCCTAATATTACTTATTAAGTAATTATTAGATGTTTTAATTGCCCGTATGTTGGCCTGGTGAATTGGCTAGGAATTAACATACCTAGGTAGCATTGCTGAGCGTCGCATTCGAGCTATATCATAAAAACTGTTTTTTAGAAAAAAACGGCTTTTTTTTTAATTCGTTAACCGAAACCATTGTTTCAATGGGTTTTGGGTAATTGGTTCCAGCTCACCGAAAATTACATACAAATTAAAAATAAATGCAGTAAAGTACACTTACTTTGAGGTGTGCATGTAGAAGGCTCCTGGTTGATGATGATGATGATGGGAATTAGAATGGGGGTGGAGGAGAAGGGAGAAGAGAAGGCATTGGGGTGGAAGAGAAGTCACCCCATGCCGCCATTTCACTCATAAAATTTTAGTTCACTTGGTGTAATTCAAGATTATTTTCTTTAAATCAACACTGCACTGCATTATATATTGTCAATATGTAAAATATATTTCAAAATGACCAATAATTTGACTGGAAACACAGAAAAAAAGAGTATGTTGAAGAGTCTCAAACAAGATGTTCCTTCCTCTGAACTAGTAAACAAACTGACGCCAAGCTTAGTGTGTTGAGTGGCTGTTTGGCACGCAAAAAACTAGCTTCCTATACTTCAATTATGTTCAATAATTGTTAAAATGACTAAAAAATTGAATATAAAACTTTTAAAATTATTGAATAGTACAACCTTCTTGATATTTACTAAAATGGTAAGGAATTTAAGCCCTAAAACCGATTACTGTATTGGCGGACTAATACTACAGCTGGTGGGCAGCCAAATGCAGGTGAAAACATGTTGGGAAAATTTTTTAAGGAATTCGTTAACCGAGGGTTTGCTCGTTAACCGAAGTGAAGAATCTTATGGAAGGTAATTCGTTAACCGAAATTTCGTTAACCGAGGCGTTTGTTAACCGAGGGATCACTGTTCCTACACTTTATAATTTGTTTTATAACAATTTCCAAAAATGCAACTGTAAATTAAACCTACTGTATTTTCTACTTATTTTATTGTTATATAAATAAAATACCCTTTCCATGAACATATATATGCCACTGGTAACTATTGATTCACTAACCAACGACTTTTCCCAGTCCCTATATGCATCAGTTATTGGGGTATGCCTGTATACAGGCTGTATTATTTGTATTATTTTTCTTTGTATATATGTAGCAGTTTTGCCTGTGTATAAAATGTTTACTTGTGTGAATAAATGTTTCATAATGTCCAGTATACGGTAATCCTTTATTATTGTTAGATGTTCATAACTTAAGGTTTCACAAATATACTTGACTGCATTGATATTATCCTAACATATTTTTACCATTCTCAATTTGTGAGTTAATTTACAAGTTTTCTGTCTTCAGTTTACCGAGTCATTGCCAAAGGAGATGGGACGTCGAAGATTGGCGCTGTTTACTCTCACACCTGAACTGCTCGTGTTCAACCCAAGTCGTCCCAAAGCCGTCAGGAACACTATAGGTAAGGCCAGTTGCTTTCATTATATTAGATTATAAGGGAAATAAGCAATGAATTGGTTCCTAGTACCTGTAGGAAGCCATAAATTATATATCTTGGCATAATTTTTTCTAGATAGAATTTTTTCTTTTTTAATGAGTCGCTATATCAGTTAGATTCCTTGTACTGCAAGCAAATTTTATGCTGTTTCATTGAATGTTTGCTCTAGAGGTAACAGCTAAATGATTATTTATGTTCAGCTATCATCAGAAGATTCTCATCAACTAGCTGAAGGCAACCAAAGCTCACCTGCTGCTCCCTTTATTGCAGTGGCTACTAATGGAATACATACAGCTTCTAACAGTGGTGCAATGTGTAGATCATGTGACTGTCTTTATGAGATAATGGCTAGGTAATCACCCCCAAAGTCTCCCAGGTTACTGAGGCTTCATAGCCCATTCCCTCTTCAGGTTCCTTAAAGACAAGGGTTATTCACGCCAGGAGGCTCTGCCTTCTTCTGTGTTTCTATACAATCTGCCTCACTTTAAAATGCTGGTTTTCTGGCATCTTCATGGTGTAGATTAACACAATGTATAACCTTTTTCTTCTCTATTTTCAATTTCAATCTGTTCTTATTTTTTCGCCCCCAAGCCCCGTTGTGGGTAGTTTGACCAGTGCCCAGGTGGGCTAATTCCCGAAAAAAACAAAAAAAACATGAACACCAGATGCAGTACATGATGTGTTTGAATGTTCCTCTTTTGCCATTTGGTTGAAGAGGGGTGAACCAGGCAGATTGCATACAGTACCATCCTGAGTAGGACATTACAAGGTTTGGTCTGATGGTCCAGATTGCATCCTGGGATCACCCTTGGAGGAAGTCAGATAACTCAGGTTGCCACAATTTTAATAGAAACCCATTTGATGGTGGCAGTTGTGGTCTGACAAAGTCCGTCACCTCTGGCTTCCACCAGATGTATGTCCAGTGTCTTCTTTGGCTGCACTTAGTCTGTCAATGGTGTTACTGCAGTCTTCATTTCATCCTTTATGTTCAGACACAATATGCATAATTTTTTGTTGAATGAACTCACATGTGACCAGAGATGATGTTAGCGGTAACAGGTGTATATCTTGCCACTATGTGGGGGCGGATCCAGGAATATCAAAAGGGGGGGGTACAAGAAGTTTTGGGTGGGGGAACATGGCGAGCAAAGCAAGCCCACCCTGCTGGGGGGTTTTGGGAGGGCGCTGTAAGCCCCCAGATTTTTTTTTTAAATCTGACCAATATCATGGGTATTTTGAGGTAATTTTGAAGCCATGTGCACCTGATATTAGGAGATATTCTTAGGTCAATATTAATTACTTTTTCCCATACAAAAATGCATGAATACAATACTGCATTAAAGAAAAAAAATTGGAATTTTCTGATGAAAAGGGAGGGGGGGGGGGGGTTTCCGGACTCACAGGACCCTCTCCTCCTGGATCCGCCCTTGCTATGTCCATGGTTAATCCCTACATGGGACAAATGTGAGAAGGGTGTTATCCAGTGTGACCCTACTAAACATCTCAGGTTTTATCTGGGTATTCTGGTTTTCTTCTGTACTAACACTGGGCGATAGCAGTCATAACAAAGCAAGAAAAAACAGATCAACAGCCTGAACGGCTAGTAAGCTGGTAGGTTGTGAAATGATAAATTGATGAATAAAAGACCTTGGTGTTACAGGTGTTGACAGGTGGCGAGTGTACAACTTGAGACTAGAAAAACAAGAGTCCTCAGATTCCTGGGGCATTAGACGACCAAACTCCAACATAGCTCAGCTGGCTATGAAGGTTAGTGCACAGTAAAATATATTATTATTATTACTGTTAAATGATGTAAAACAATACAGTACTGATGAGATGGGCCTTGTGCATTTTTTATTAATTCTTTATTTAACAACATAACTGTTGCTCTTTGATGTATTACTCCAAAATTTTTAATAGAAATATGGATGACTTTATTTTCAAGGTGTTTTTATTGAGGAAATTTACTAACTTAAAGCATATTAGTAAACTCTTCCAATATCATTGTTGAATGACTGTCCCTTAGTTCACTGTGCATCCATAATATTTTTGTTTACTTGATCATCATGTGAAACAGCAATTGAATATTCAGGAAGCTGATGAAGAATAGTGTCAAAAAAATTATGAAAAACACCTACTGGTAAATAGATTTATTGCCTTTGAATAGTTTCTGCAAAATAAATAGCATTTACCAACATAAAAATTTTTATACTGTATAATAACTTGAGTAACTGTGGCAGGAATTTCATGAATCCCCAAACCATAAAGCCATTAAGAATGATATACAGGCATACCCCAATAACCGATGCATAAAGGGACTGTGAAAACTCGTTGGTTAGTGAATCAACGGTTTTCGAACCAATTACTCCCATAAGAATATAACAAATTCAGGGGATTAGGGACCGGCTACCCCCCAAAAACTCCCATTTACCCTTGATATTTCTCTGTCGTGCACACTGTAAAGCAAGAAAATAGTGCAAACATATAAAATTAGCATAATAAGCATTAAATAAGGAATGTAAAGCATAAATTGAGATAGTTATTTACCTGTGTTGGGAATGGTAGAAACAGTCTACAGTAGCAAGTTCAAGTCTCTACCACTCTTTGCTGGTCCATCACCACTCTTATTACAACTTATCACATTTCAACCAAGCTGCCCTTCCAAGAGGAACTATTACTGGGGCGTTTAGGCATGATTACATACAGACGAAATCGAAAATACAGTCTCTCCTCGACTTACGACATATTTGACTTACGACATCCAGGACATATGACGGCCATGGGGTCGTATAAAATGTTTTTCACATTACGTATTTTCGAGTCCCGACGTTAATGATCACACTGTGTACTGACAAAATTTTCGTTTGTAATTCTCTTTAAAATGGCTGGCAAGCGTAAAAGTGAGAGTTTTCGTGGTGCTGAGAAGAAAAAGAGACAACCATTTTAGAATTTCTATGTATTATTTTCGCCTTTTCGACTTACGACCTGGTCGTCGGGACAGAACCCCGTCGTAAGTCGAGGAGAGACTGTAATTAAAAAAACAAAGTTGGAGACGCATGGTAAGTGTAAATAAGTGCAGAGAGGTGGGAATGAGTCTGAGGCAGCATGCAAAGCCCTCTCGTGGCAAGAATCCGCACCACGCCACCGCCCACCAAATTCAAAACTTCTCTGCTGCTCCTCTTCCAATCGTTGGATCTCCGTGGTATCAATGATACTTGCAGGGCATTTCCCCTATATGTAATTGTCGGTTATGCGAATCAGCGGTTAATGGGACATGGGTTTTCGGGGTGTACCTGTACAGTACAGGATGTCTCGAAAATACTCTACATACTGCCTTACAGATTTTCATGGCAACATTGTCCTCACTTGTTAATAAGCAATGTCTCCCACAGGTGAGGGCAATAGTGTTGATGTAATGCAATTGTTCATACAATCTCCATGAAAATCTCAAAGCAGCATACAGGGTATATACATTTTTTTGAGACACCAAGTATGATGAGTGTTTCCTTGTTTCTAGAGTGGTGGAGGTGTGTTCTCTGTGACAGCACTCAAGGAAGATAACAGAGCTCCATACTTCATGAAACTGTTCAGGAGGGTCCTTAGCAGAGCCATAATCAAGGTCATCAACGTTGCCTACAGGCCTCCAAGAACACTGTCATATAATTAATATTCATTTTAATTTCCTTCTTACTCAAATAATTTGGTGTATGTTCACAATTGTAATGTCTGTAGATTGGCTAGTACTGACTAATATAATTAGAAAAGGGTTAGTTCAAATAAAATTGACGACAGTGAAATATTACAAGTTGAGCTTGAAGTACAATACAATATAGTGAATTAGGAACCAATGGTATGTTTAAGGTATTAATGCTTCTTCTCAATGAACCATTATTGTTCAAGCACTGGGTTACTCAAGCAGTAGTTAAATAGGATCATTTACGCACAAGCATTTCAGTTATCTGCACTAAAGCTACAGTATTAGTGTTTAATCTCAAACCTGGATACTTGATGCATGCTAATTGGAGACCTCAAATTCATGTATTTGTTGTCTTTTGTGGTACAGGTTGAACCTCCCTAATCCGGTACCCTTTGGACCTGACCGGTGCCGGACTTTAGAATTTTCTGAACCACAGGTGGTCTTTGTAAAATACATATTATCATTGTTGTGACACAGTTTTAATGTAAATGATATAAGTAAATATGCATACAAAAGGATAAAGAAAGAAATATGAATATGAAATACCTGTACAAGTAATGTATTTCAACTACAGAAGCATAATACAGTTCAATACAGTGTAATTGTAATAAACGAAAATAAACAAACAAAAATTCTCATTCTGCTCTTAAAATGACAAAAGTACTTGTACATAAATTGGTGATGTTCACCTGTAAAGAAGAAAAAATATCTGTACAGAAAATAAAATAATAAAATAAAGAAAATAAAGAACAAATTAGGAAAAATTAAAAACTATAGAAATAAAATAATTACAGAAAAAAACATAAATGTATTAAGTTTACTTACTGAAAATTAAATAAGCAAATTATGAAAATAAAGTAAAAATACAGAAAACAACAAAATAAAGATAAAATGAAGAAATAAGGAAATAACAAAAAACAAAATCAATTAACTTACATAAAGTGATTGCTGATTCTGCACCCAAATTTATGTACAGTACAAGTACGTACACACATCCAATCCACACTACATTCGAGTTACATCTGGGTTCTTGGCTGGGGTGACATCTGGGGTCTCAGCTGGGGTGACATCTGGGGTCTTGGCTGGGGTGACTTCTGGGGTCTTGGCTGGGGTGACTTCTGGGGTCTCAGCTGAGGTGACTTCTGGGGTCTTGGCTGGGGTGACTTCTGGGTTCTCAGCTGGGGTGACTTCTGGGTACTCTAAGTCATTGTCTGGGTCCTCGTGCAAGATGACATCTGGGGTAGCAGAAGCAGATGTAATAGGATGTTCAGTTGAAGAGAGTTGCTTACTGGTCTCTGTTGCTTTTTTGAACCAATTATCCAAAGTTTTTTGTTTCATGTATTTGGGCTTTTCTTTAATGAGACGGTCTTTCATTAGGTAGAGATGCTTGATTTCTTGATCGGTAAATACAGTATGTTTCTCTGCTCCAGGCCTTCTATTAAATATGTGGTCAACTGAATGCATTTGTCAATAGACATTCTTTCTTGAACTTTCTTCTCATCGTCTTCACTGTCATTACTGTCTGTACCTGTACTTTGTCCTTTTGTACCATCTGCACAATTTCTGCATCTGTCAGTTGATTCACAGTCGGTGCATCTTGGTCAACATCCAACCACTCCAGTAAACCTTCTTCCTCTATTTCCCTGACCATTAAATCATACACAATTAAGGGTAAATAACAAGTGAAATATTACAGAAACACTTGAAATACCAAGGAACGCACCAAACTCCACGAGGACCAGATGTAAACAAAGGGTATGCCAAACCATGGATACTAGTGCCGGTGGGTACTTGCGGCCGTCCGGCAAACTAAAATTTTGCCGGACGACGGGAGGTGCCGGACAATAGAGCACCGGATTAGGGAGGTTCAACCTGTATAATGAAAATCATTTAACAGTCACCAGGATTCATTGTAACAGTAAGAAAACATGTAGTGTTACTGTTTCATAGTAGATGAAGCTAAATGTAATCTGATTTATTAATTGAAATTAATGGTGTAGCCTTCAGTATTTTTCTCTACAGTGACCCCTCGTTTAACGAACACCTCAGTTAACGAAATTTCGGTTAACGAACTGCCTTCCATATGGATCTTCAATTCGGTTAACGAACAAAAATTCGGTTAACGAATTTCTTACGAACCGGCCTCAACATGTTTTTGCTTGCACTGACCGGGCAACCAGCTTTAGTATCAGTCCGCCAATACATTTATCGGTTCTAGGGCTTAAATTCCTTACTATTTTAGTAAATATCAAGAAGTTTATACTATTCAATAATTTTAAAAGTTTCATATTCAATTTTTTAGTCATTTTAACAATTATTGAACATAATTGAAGGTAAAGTGACTAGTTTAATGCGCGGCATCCAGCCTCTTAACACAGCAAACAGGCGTTAGTCTCTCTGTTTTCACTGGAGGTAACATCTTGCTTGAGACTCTCTTCAACTAAACGCTTTTTTTCTGTGTTTCCAAGCAAATTATTGGTCATTTTGAAATATATTTTACATATTGACAATATATAATGCAGTGCAGTGTTGATTTAAAGAAAATAATCTTGAATTACACCAAGAAAACTAAAATTTTATGGGTGAAATGGTGCCATGGGGTGACTTCTCTTCCACCCCAATGCCTTCTCTTCTTCCTTCTCCTCCACCCCCATTCTAATTCACATCATCATCATCCAGGAGCCTTCTACATACACACCTCAAAGTAAGTGAACTTTTCTACCATTTTTGTTGAATTTAGGAAATTTTCGGTGAGCTGGAACCAATTACCCAAAAACCCATTGAAACAATGGTTTCGGTTAACGAACGACCTTCCGGAACGGATTGAGTTCGTTAACCAAGGGGTTACTGTATTTACATTTATAAATTACAGTGCTTCTTAATATTTCACCGATCTGTGTTAGCAGATAAGTAGAATATGCAAATTATTCTTATTGAGATTAAACACCTGTGTCAGACTTGTGTCTATGGTGTACTGTACTGTATATTTCTTATATATTTGGTATATATATATATGTATATGTTAATTCTTAATGTGCACTTGTATATAGTTGAGTATTTTGTCACTGTTGATGCCAAGTTTGTATTGAACTAGTTTCCTGTAAACTGTGAATATACATTTAATTAGACTACAGGTAGTTGTTCCTTTCTTCACTACTATACAGTATTGACTACAAGAATTCCTGTGCACTTTTTCTTGGATTTAGGTACAGTATTAACATTGTGGGTAGTGATAAACAAAGAAGTTCACAAGTTGTCATAGAAGCACATTCTAATCTTTTATATTAGTTACGTGTGTTTTAGGTAATCCTCTAAGCACTGAGTATTGACTTAGGTAGCTGGTAATTCTAATATATTCTTGGTAATCATGTAGATATTGGATAGTCTCTGAAGAGTAATATTTTCACACATGCATTATGATTAACAACACTGTTAGTACATGAAGTTACTTTTGGGCTTTCACTTAACCTAAGTGGATAGTCAAATAAAATTTTTAGCATGATTATTGACAAATTCACTAAGTTTTTGGCATTAAGGTTAGTATAAATCTGTGTTCAGTCTTCTGTTCTCTCTTGTCTTACAGTATTATGTTTTCAGTTTAAAATTAATGTAAATGTATTAAAATGATCATTTTTTAAGTAATGTCTCCACTGTATTGTTTATAAGTACACCTAACTCTCGTTTAATGTAAGCATTACATTCTGCAAAATCCTATCATAAAAATAATTGCATAAAATGAATTCGTATTCTTATGGGGAAATGGGTATCCCTCAATCTTAATTCTGGCACTTTTTCATAACAAAGACACTAAAAGACAACAGTAATGCTATAAAAGTTGTGTAGAAATCATTGCATTACTCTAATGTGGCATAGAAATAAAGAAAATGTAATATAAAATTATAAAATAAGAAAATCTAAGAGCATGGTTCTGTATGTGTGGAGGTGTTGTGATCAGCTGTAACTGCGTCATTGTCCGACTCACCAGCCCTGCCACCTCGTTTATTGTTGTTATTGTTATGTGTAATTAAACAATAAAAGTTGTGTAAAAATCATTACAATACTGTGCTCTAATGGGGCTTAGAAATAAAGATAATACTTTTACTTTTATCATCTTCACCACTAATTGGCTCGTTAACTGCTTGGGAGATCGGTCACATTTTTTTTACTTTTTTTACTCCAGTGTTGGTCAAGTATGGTCTTGAAAGAGCTCACACTCGGTGCCGTCACAACACCTGGTAGATTAATATAAAACTATAAAATAAGAAAAGATGAGAGGATGGGTGAGAAGTGAAAGTGTGTGGAGCAGTGTCCTGAAAAACTGTGTGGCCACTCGTCAGTCCGGTCGCTCTCCCCCTCCCCTATTTGTGATGTCACATACACAGCACAGCACACACCACATTCTCTGAGTCAGCTGGTGACTGTCACTGTTTAGCATAGCATTTTTTAATTAATTTTGTTTACATGCAAATTTAAATTTGTTCAAATTATGCTCTCCTTGTGCTCACTAAATCGTTTATATTTAAGTTTGGTATTAATAAATCAATTTGATGTTAATAAATCAATTGTTTAACTTCAAACCATTTATTAAGAGATATAGAGATATCGCACTTACACATAGGCAGATGTGTAGGCTCCAGGCGAGCATAAATTTGCAGAGCTTTACATTAAATGTGGTTATTATGAAGACCACTTTACTTCTTATTTTCATGCTCAATGTAGAAGTTCAATATTTTCTCTTATCCTCTCAATCAATGAATTATGCACTCGGGTAGAAATTTTAGACGAAAAATGTGATGAATGAATCACTGCACTATGAATCTTCTCAGCATTTTAATTGGTGTTTCAAATTATGGATTTACCTAAGTTATAGTACTGGCCGAGAGCAGACAAACCTTCACCAGCTTCAGCACAGTTAATGATTTCAAACCTTGTTTCTAGTGGCAACGATGTCCTCTTGCACTTTAGTGGAGGCCCAGGGCTAGAAGCAGGCCATTTAGAAGTCATAATGTCCCCAAAAAACTGTACAAAAAGGCTTGAAAACAACGCAGAGTGCAGCACAACAGGTGTAAATACCGACACAAAGGTGGCTACTGCGACACTGATCTGGTCGGCGCAATGACACAATACCTACGATGCTCCTATGCAGAAGCATCTCACACAGCACACAAAAAAATAGTATGCCATAACTTGCATAGAATGCATCAGACCAAATTTTTTGGCATTAAATGAACTCTGGGTAGAAATAGTGTCCTCACATATACGAACACAAATTTGCATATAGTGAACACGCATAAAGCGAGTTAGGTGTATCTTGTATTCTTTGTCATGGGACGTTAATACATTTATTTATTTTTCCTTATTTTGTTCAATCCAGAATGCGACTTCTAACCTTATTCCACCACATCAGCGACCACTCCCTCCCAATGAAGCCAGACTGGACTGGATAATTCAAGTAGAGACAGCTCTCACCGGCTCAACAGCTAGAGGAGCAAAAGTACGTCGCCCTGGTCTGTTCCTTGCCCGCAGAAGTCGCCACGCAAGTCTCAAAAAGTCATCATCAACCTTCCAGCTGACAACAAATTCGCAGCTCTATGAGATGCTCTGAAGAGGCGATACCAGCGGCCTAGCGCCAGTCTCCTGCAAGACCTATCAAGTCTACCCCTTGGCAACTCAACGCCTGCACATCTCCGGGACGAGTTGCAAAGACTGAACTCCCGCCACACGGACATGCTTCCTGACACTGTCCTGCACCAGCTTCATGCCCAGAAGCTCCCCGCTTCTGGGGCGGCGACCAGCGCAGCCATGGCAGACAGAGTGTTCCATGAATACACTGCTGTGTGCCATGCTGCCACAGACAACTCAGCGGCCACACCGTCACTTACCTCTGATTTTGAGCAACACCTCACAAGACATGAGGGACCTGCTACAGTCTCTACACCGCAGGATGGACACCCTCGAGCAGCTCTACTCCTCCATGCCTGCTGCTGCTCCTGTTCCTGCCCCACGCACTGTGTCCTACTAACCCCGACATCTTCGTCTCCTGCCTCGGACACCACCACTAGTCCCCAGCACAGTGCACCTACCCTCGGCTGGTACCATCAACTCTTCGGTGCTAACGCTAGACGTTGTGAGGCTCCCTGCAACTACTCGGGAAACAGCATCGACGGGGATTGGTAGACGCCACAATCTCCATCACTTCAGTTTTCTCACTGCTGCATATTACCGACCACATCTCTGGCAGGAAATTCCTCATTGACACAAGGGCATCGGTCAGCATCATCCCTCCCTCACCACGAGACACATCGAGCAACCCTCGTATGACCTGTTCGCCACCAACAGTACCTCCATCGCCTCCTATGGCGCACACATCCTCGCTTTAGAACTTGGTCTTCCCAAGACTCTGTGCTGATCCTTTGTGGTGGCAGACGTCTCTCAACCCATCCTTGGCTTCGACTTCCTCACCTTCCACAAGCTCGTTGTCGACCCAAGCAACCTCTGCCTCATCCATGAACCTACAGCACACATGATTCGGGGTACACGTGCCGCAGTCGCCGACACTATCACCTTCCTCTCGCCGTCCAACGTTCTCCTCCCTGCTGTCCAACGTTCTCCTCCCTGCTCAAGGAGTTCAAGGAACTTTTCTCACCCCGAGTCTCTCCACCACCACCTAAGTCTGGAATCTTCCACCACATCGAGACTACAGGACCTCCAGTCTTCTCACGCCCTCGCCGCCTTCGCCCTGAGCTCAAGAGCGCAGCCAAGGCGGAATTCAGCAGATTCCTGCAGGACGGCATCATTCGACCTTCAAAGAGTCCCTGTGAATCTCCTCTTCACATGGTGTTAAAGCCATCATCCAACGATTGGAGGATATGTGGTGACTACAGAGCCGTGAACCTTGTCACCAAACCTGACAGGTACCCTATCCAGCATGTCCAGGACTTCCACCACATACTCCATGGCAAGACCATCTTCTCGAAGATCGACTTGGAGCATGCTTTCCATCAGATTCCAGTGGCACCTGCAGATATCCAGAAGACTATCCTCACCACTCCGTTCGGTCTCTTCGAGTATGCCTACATGAGTTTTTGACTACACAATGCAGCTCAGACCTTCCAGAGGTACGTGGACCACATGCTTCGCGACCTCGACTTTGTCACTGTCTACATAGACGACATTCTCGTCCCATCTCAGACGCCTGCCAAACATCATCACCACCTGCAACTCCTCCAACGCCTGCAGAACAACAACATTAAAGTTCATCCCACCAAGTGCGTCTTTGGAGCTTCCTCCATCAACTTCTTCGGTCACAGACTCTCGTCGAGCGGCATCCAACCCCTACCACAGAAGGTAACTGCCACCAAGGAGTTCCCCAATCCTGAATCAGTGAAGAAGCTCCGAGAATTCCTGGGTTTAGTCAACTACTACCACCGCTTCATTTCCCAGGCTGATATCCTCGCTCCTCTCCACGATCTTCTCAAGGGACTCCCCAAGATGTCTCACAAGCCCCTCATATGGACTCAAGAGGCCTTTACAGCATTCACCACTATCAAGCAGCACATCACACTCCTTACCCTGCTGGGTCACCCTGCCCCCAATCCCTGGACCACTCTCACAACAAACGCTTCTACTGCCGTGGGCGCCATCTTACAACAGGAGATAAACGGAACTCTCATGCCCATTGCCTTCTTCTCACAGCGGCTTCAACCATCTCAACTACAGTGCCTTCGATCGAGAGCTCCTAGCCATATATCTTGCTGTTAAGCATTTCTAGCACTTTCTCGAGGCCCGTCAGTTCGCCATCTTCACTGATCACAAGCCCCTCGTCCATGCCTTCGCTTCAGCCTCCCAGACACATACACTTCGTGTTCTTCGCCACTTGGCTTACATCACGGAGTTCACCAGTGACATCCAACACATCAAGGACAGCCACAACGAGATCGCCGACACCCTCTCTCGATGTATATCCAGCATTTCTTCCCTCATCTCCACCCCTGGATTACTGACAGCTCGCCGTAGCTCAAGAAAACGACGAAGACCTTGCAGCATACAAGACATCTCCCTCAGGTCTCGCCCTCCAAGAACTCCTCGTTCCTGGCACAAACATCAAGTCGTGGTGCGAGATGTCCTGTGGGCAGCCTAGACTATTCATGCCTCACATCCACCGCCGCGCCATCTTCGACCGCATCCATGGTATCAGCCACCCAGGCGTACGGGCCTCCCAGCGCCTCCTCACACAAAGTGTCGTCTGGCCCAGCATCAAGGCTGATACTCGGAAATGGGCTGCCCAGCACCTGGCCTGCCAGTCCTCTAAAATACACGACACACAGGGGCTCCCTTGGAAACCTTTCCTGTACCCAAAGGACACTTCCAGGTAGTGCACCTCGACATCGTGGGAACTCTTCCAGCATCCTGCGGCGACGCCTACATCTTCACCTGCATTGACCGTTTCACCAGGTGGACAGAAGCCATTGCCCTGCCTTATGCTACAGCAGAGTCAGCTGTCCGTGCCCTCCTGTCTGGTTGGGTCTCCCGTTTCGGTCCTCCCACGACCGTCATCACTGACCGAGGAGTCCAGTTTGAGTCACAACTCAGGCATAGTCTCCTACAGTTCCTCAGCACTTCCAGGCACCTTACTACTGCTTACCACCCTCAATCCAACGGCATGGTAGAGCAGTTTCATCAGCAGCTGAAGGACGCCATCAAGGCACAGCTGGACGGATGCTCTACCTTTGGTGCTCCTTGGCATCTGCGCATCACACAAAGAGGACATGGACTGTAGCCCAGCAGATCTCACCCTAGGCGAGCCCCTTCGCCTACCTGGGGAATTCTCACTTACTCTGATTACTTTTCCTTTTCTTTTATCCTCTTCACCAAAAGTTCGGCTCGTTAGCTGCTTGGGTGATCGGTCACGTCTCTGTTACGCACTGTTGGCAAGTACTGGGCATGCACCGGCTCTTGAATGTACCTGAACCTGCTCCAGTGTTGGTCAAGTCTTCTCTTGAAAGAGCTCACACGGTGCCGTCACAACACTTTCTGGTAGATTGTTCCAAGAGTTCACAACTCTCACTCTGAAAAAGTTGCACTCTCAATTATCTGGACTTGCGGCTTCTTCAATCTTGAGCTGTGACCCCTTGTGAGGCGAGCGTCCGCCAGCTTCACGTAAGGACACTCGACTGAGTAGTGCCCCTTGAGATGCTTATTCGCCTCAAGTAGGTCACCCCTTGCCCGTCTATAGTTTAAGCTAGGCAAGTTCAGGCACTCCAAGCTCTCAGGGTAGCTGAGGTGCCGAAGTGCAGGCACCAATCTGGTGGCCCTCCTTTGAACATTTTCAACCAATTGACAGTCCTTAGCATATCTCGGGGACCAGACGGGGTGACAGTACTCCAGATGGGAATGCACTTTACTCTTGAAGATCGTTATGAGGGCCGGACCGTCTAGATATCTGAACGACCTTATTATAAGACCCAATAATTTATTTGCCTGATTTACCTTCTTCTCGCAATGGCCCGAGAACTTCAGCTCATTGTCAACATACACACTTAGGTCCTTCTCACATTCAGTCAAATAGTGCAGTTTCTTCATCCCGTTGGGACATATGATAAACCTCCTTACCGTTGGTATGCCCCAGGTGCATCCTCTTACACTTCGTGACATTGAATCTCAGCAGCCATTTCTTCGACCATTCTTGGAGTCCACAGAGGTCCTTCTACAGCTCTTCACAGTCTGCCTGGTTCTTGATTTCCCAAAATAACTTGGTGTCATCGGCAAACATTTGTATGGAGGAGTGTACAACGTCAGGCATGTCATTTATGAAACAAACAAACAACAGCGGGCCCAATATTCTGCCCTGTGGTAACCCACTTGTGACGGGTACGGATGATGATTTCATGTCATTAATCATCACGCACTGCTTGCTGTCATGTAGAAAGTCTTCTATCCACGCTAGGACATTTCCCCGAATTCCGTACCCTTCCAGTTTGATTTTCAGCCTTTCATGGGGTGCACTGTCGAAAGCCTTGGCAAAATCTAGGTGAATATTGTCGATGTTATCACCCCGTTCCAGAATATGGGTCCAAATATCCAATACCTTGAGCAATTGTGTTAAGCAGGAGCGCCCCGGCATAAAACTGTGTTGGCAATCCTTTACAAAGTTGTTTCGTAGTAGATGTTCCATCGCGGCATCTCTGATAATAGTCTCAAGTACTTTACATATTATGTTGACCAGGCTCACTGGCCTATAGTTCGTGGAGTGGCGATCGCCCTTCTTGAAATTAGGACTCACACAAGCCACTTTCCATTCACTGGGGACTTTTTGTTCATCCAAGCATTTACAAAACAGGATCTTCAGGGGCTCGGCAAGCTCATTGCTCAACTCTCTTAGCACTCTAGGATGCACCATGTCAGGGCCAGGACTCTTATGGACCTTTAGCTTTGACAGTTTATTTCTAATACCCTCTTCTGTGAACACAATGTGGGTCAGTGCTGTGTCGAGCTGTCTGTCCTCAAACGCAGGAAGGTTAATCGCATCCTCTCTTGTGAACACCGAGGAAAAGAAGCTGTTCAATGCCTTTTCCTTTATCCTGGTCAGAATCAGCATAACTACCATCTTCAAGCCTCAGGTCTGATACTCCTACTTGCGTTTTAATTTCGACTTTGCATAGCGGTAAAACGCCTTTGGGTTTGACTTGACCTCGCTTGCAACCAGCCTCTGGAACTCCCTTTTAACCTTTCTACATTCTGTCTTTGCTTGGTTTCTGGCTCTTGCATACATCCTTCTGTCCTGCTCATTATTTCACCCAACCCACGTCTAGAATTTCTGGTTTTCTTCTTAACTTTGTCGACCGCCGCATGGTTCATGTTTGTATCCTAATTTTTCACCTTGCCGCCAACAGTCCCTTTAAATTTTGTAACAAGAACCAAATTTGGCATAAATATTACTAATACTTTATGTGTTATCCTGGGGAAGGCTAGTGTTTAAATATGTATGCTTGTACTGTGTGAATCGTTAATAAATAAATAAAACTGAATTCAGTCTATGCAACAAGTTATAGTCTAACGATAATTACAAGTGTTAAATATATGTATGTTTATATGCTGCCTTTATTGAATATATATATTATATATTATGTTACTTCTTACCAAAGTCAGAAAGTGTTTAGGCTTGTGTAAACACGAAAGGTGTTAGGCACATTGTAACCAAGAACAGAGAAAAAACGCCCAGCCAGACTGACCATGTGCTTGTCATTCTCCCATTAAATAACGCAAGATACTACAACAAGTACAAAAGGGAACCATTGTTTTTTATTAAGTATTCAACCAGTGCCGGATTTAGACCTGTGGAGGCCCATGGGCAGCCTCTTTGTAGAGGCCCCACTCATTATAACTACCCAAGAGGGTGGGGTGGCGAGTGAAGCGAGCCTAAACATCTGGGAGTTCCGGGGGGCGCTGTAAGCCCCTCGGGAAAATTTTGAAATTTGAACACTGCTTTGGAGAATTTTGAAGCCTTATGCGGTTATATTGAGGAAATTAGAACATATTGTAATATGTGGAGGCCCCTGGGCAGCTGCCCACTTTGCCCACTCCTGAATCCGGGGGACATTACAAAGGTACTCAAACTATCCAACCAGGAGCGAACCCGTAACAATGGTTTTAAATTAGACAAATTTAGATTTCGGCGTGAAATTGGTAAACTGGTTTGGAAACAGTAGTGGATGAGTGGAACAAGTTACCAAATATCATCATTAACTCGAATACGCTGAATAGCTTCAAACATAGGTTGGATGCTTATATGAGCAATAGGGGTTGGGTAGAAACGGGACTGCCCAGTATGGGTCAATAGGCCCGCTGCAGTTTCCTCCATTCTTATGTTCTTATGTTAACTATCCAGCCAGCACTTGTACAAACACTCAGTGACACGTCCACAGTACTGTACCAAGGTGTGGTACTAGCGTGTGGGGGAGGTCACGCTGGGAACAATAATGGTATCTGGCACCTTTTACTGGTGCTGGTGGGTGACTGACGATGACGAAACAACTTCAGTGTTCTTGGAGGCATGTTCGGGTATACAGTGACGCTCCTCGCCTTCTCCGCCTTCGCTCTAGGTATGTAACATTTTGTACATTATATCTAATGGGTGTTGATTTTCACAGTGTGCAGTTGCATGTTCCATGTAATAAAGAACAGTGATAAGGCAATTAAGTAGCAGTATATTGAAAAGTTTTCAACCACATAGAAGTGTCAGGTGAAACTGGTTTGAAATTTCACTTTCCACAAGACACCCACGCCACTTCCATGCTGGTTAAATTGTGCACAATGCACTTGTATATCAGTTATTTAGTTGTTTATATATATATATATATATATATATCATGTAATTCCACAATGGAAACATATACAAGATGTCTTAAATAGAGAGGAAAGCTAAGGCGCTCCATTGTTTCCCATTTCATATATATATATATATATATATATATATATATATATATATATATATATATATATATATATATATATATATATATATATATATATATATATATATATATATATATATATATATATATATGACCGTGGTGCAAATTCGTAGGAAAAATAACTTTATTCGTCGTTAAAGATGAGGCTCGTGACCTCTCCAGCCTGGACCCCATCGGTACCTCGAAGCTGAGGAACCTTATCTGTACTTGTCTGAGATAAGTTTGTTAACCACGACTCGGAAGTGATTGATCTCCTTTAATCAGTTTCTTTATGGTGACGCGACACAGCTGCAACTTTGATAACTCGTATCAACACTTCTCGATTTAATGTTAGGAAAGTTATCTGCAGATGGCGATTTTTCTGCCAGAACCTCCCGCTATTACTTTTATTTAATAAGTTTGGGAAGTCTCTCCTTTATATTTTATGAATTATTATAACAATGCGACCAAAAAAGAATATTGTGAACTCTGATATCGCTATCTTTTAATCAGATAAACTTACGATGTCCTTAGAACCCACGATAAAATCAGATTGGTTTTTATTTCCTGCTTGTATGGAAGGTTACTCGAGACATAATAAGTCTTAGAAGACATTAACTTATTTTTTAATACAGCAAGATATACGAGTGTGCGGCACAGTATAAAGTGCTCAAATAAAGAGCTCACTTGAAAGGGTTGAGCCTATTGTGGAAACTAATTGTGTTGGAGGAAAATAGGTTCAGTAGATGATGGGCCGCAGATTTACAAAGGCTTGGATTTTTTAACTGGAGGATTTTAAAAGCCAAAATTATGTTGAAATATCACTGAGACCCAACCATATGTTTTGTCTAATTTCGGAGAACAATTGTTCACTGTCTGGTTCTGAAACCCCGATCGTGGCTTGCTTGTAGATTGTCTATATCAGAGGTTGTGGAGTTTACATCAGGGGTTGTGGCGTTAACATTTGGGGTTGTTGAAAGTCTTCCTGAAATTTTCGCCTTTGTTCCAAAAGAAATTTGGTTATATATTTGTCTGTGAAGAAAACAAAAAGCATTGTTCAAAGTATAACATTACGGAACAACCCAAAGCAGATTTGTGGTGGTGAGTGAGAGACTTCAACGTTGAGTGAAGTAGCCAGGGAAGGTGTGCTGTTCCCACCTTCACAATTATGTGAACAGTCACACGGAACTAACCCTCTTTACGATGAAGGTCTCTTTCACTGCCACCAGCACCAACCTGTAGGCACTTCCTCACATACGGTTTATAGACAGTAACTATTAATGAAAGTGGTAAGCCGATGATACAAAAGTATCATAATTAGACGTACGTTAGCAGTGCCGGATTAACCATGAGGCAATGGCCTCAGGCCCCCCGATTCTAAGGGGCCCCCAAATCCAAACATTCTCGAAATTGAAGCATATAAAACATGAACTTCGTTCAACGATGTCCTCGCAGTCTCAATTTTCTGTCTCTATGAACATTGAATGTGTTATTTTGCAGAAGCTTAATATTGATGAAATCATTGATAAATTTTGGTATATTTTGTTCTTGCTATATATATATATATATATATATATATATATATATATATATATATATATATATATATATATATATATATATATATATATATACACACACACACGCACATCTTTAGGGTAGGGGGCTCCAAGTTGATCTGTGCCTCATGCCCCTATTAAGCTTAATCCGGCCCTGTACGTTAGTGAAGAAAACAGGTTATCTTGACGCCATTCGTTTCATCCCCACAGGTGGACATTGGCCTATGCTGGGCATGTGTTACGACTGTCCGCGTGTAACTTTTTCTTATTTATATATATATTTCACAGTTGACACAAGCAAACATCTCTGAAGTCAATACAGTAGCCTCATAAGGGGACATCTAATTACAGTGTGTGTGTGTGTACTGGTGAGGTTTTCATCTTGTTTGGATTTTAGTGTACGTTGTATCTTTTGGGAACTTGTGATTGCGTACAGTCCATAAAATTGTATGAAACATTGTGTGCTGTATGTATGTCAGAGAATGGTGAATTACGACTAAGTTGGACTGTGTTGTGTGTGTGAACTTTATCATGGGTCTGGGTGAGACGTGGCGTGTACCGAGGCCAGCAGGCGCGCGCCACTCACACCTACACCCTCTCACACCAACACTGCCTCACACCAACACTGCTTCACACCACCTGTCTCACACCAACACCTCGTCCATCTACAAAACGTACCGTGCCGTTAGTTCATGACACTCACCACAGACAGTTGTAAAACTTTGCTAATGATAAACCACATCATTTTATCAAGATTGCTTTAGTTTTCACTAAAAGATATCTTATTGCCCAGTTATTATCATAATTTACCTTCAAACATTGCCTTATCTCAATACTCTATAATACAAAAAGTTACATCGCTAAACCTTAATATGCATGTACGGGACATTAAACTTTTTTTTTACCGTGTTATTTTATGCGTCCAGCTCTTGATAACTGGAATCTGAATTTTTACGTGCCAAGTGTCTTTTTGGTGTGAACCATTCGCAAAGGACTGAGGTTTCAGAAACCTTATGTGCATGATTATAATCAATAGCTCCACGGGTAAAAAAACAAAAATATGAAATAAAGCTAAAAACTTACCTTACCTTAATAAATTACCATAAAAATTTATCTGTTTTTGGTCTAGTACTCTAGATCATATTGATGCACAAAAAATGTAGATTGGTATATTTATATTTAGCAGTAATAAGAGATACCTGTACTGGTATTTATATTTATGTATTACAGACCAACAAAGTATAGTCTACAGGTAATGCCAGTACACTCAAAGCGCACTTTTAGAATGTAGGACAAAAGCTACCAATGATTTATATCCGAGGCGCACAGATCACAGTAGGTGTGACTTCAGTCTGCTCAATATAAAGCCGCTCTCAATATTAAATTTTATCGTCACGTGTGGTGAAATCTATGACCAACTTGCGTCTCCAGTGACGAATTAACTGAACGTCAAGGTATAAAAAAAAGTTACTCGTATGATTTAAGATTTCTGGAATGAAAATTATTGTGGGGATGCAGTATCTTGAACTTGCTACTTCCTGGTAGTCGTATATACCCCTGTAGACATGGTACTCATCAACAGTGTTCTTAAGCTGGCAAGGAGTGTGGCCCAGGAATCACCATAGAGTTCTCTCATAATTTATTTTTCGTTGTTGCACTAGCATATTACTAACCTTGCTACGCGCTTAAAGACCTTCGTTGTTGAAGAGCAGTAGTTACAACCCAGGAAGACATATTGTAGGCTCACAACTTAAGGCCAGAAATTCTCGTTTCTAACATCACTCCCGCTGTGAAATTACTTTGTCACTTAAAGAACCTCCATTCTAGGAACAAGGAGAACGAGTCCAGGGTGTTAATGCTGGTTATACATAACAGTGTGGTGCGACTACCTGGATCACAGAATATCATCTGTCTGTTGATTGTTGCAACGCTGTAACAGCACCAGCTAAAACGTCTTTGAAAGAAAAATACCTTTATTGAAACTTCAACTCGAACGGCCAAACTTCCCAAATGGCCTCACACTAACCAATTCTAAGCTAACCAAATGCGTACCTAACCAGAGTAGGACCGTTTTGGATAGAATGGAACCTGTTTTTGCTTTATATTTTCATTGCCGCTGGATCACTACATCCCCTTGACGCAAAGTTCAGCACCAACTTTTTCAAACGTCAGGTAGCATATCTCGTAAATGGCACGCCCAAGGAGGCCCAGTAATGGAGGGCATTAGTTTACACGCTAACGAACTAATACAACAAAATTCCATAACTATCTATACTGTTTGTACTAATAATGAATATCGCGACAGAAGAAAACTATGTGCAAATAAACTTCACTCATAATGTCCCTCCACCACTGGGTGTGTGTGGGGCGGTAAACGTCTTCCTCTATGATGGCACAGCTTAGGCTTGTGAAATTTTATATGAAATTATGATCAGGTCTCTTAAGTACTTATTTGGATCTTCCTTCCCAATGTACCAAAGATCGGTCCTTACTTGAAGAGACCAATATACTGTATTAATTAAAGTTCAGTGGTGACAGTTAACTTCAGAAAACAAATTTTGTGTGTGTGTGCGCGTACCCGACTTAGAGGACTCTTAAAATATGTCTCTTTATCAATACAGAATACTGCAGTGTGTGTGTGTGTGTTTATTAGGTTGAATTATTTTTTTTTGTGTTTCTATGAGCTGCGTCAGTGGCTACTGTGACCTCAGGCTGGGGAAAATAGGTCTTGTACAAGTATGAACCTGTGTTCTTTTTAAGTACATTATTGTTGACTTAATTTCCCAGATTGGGAGTAAATTTTGGCTTGGTCTTTCTGGCTGGGGAACATTCCCAGCCTAGCTACCATTATCCTTCGTGAATGAAAAGAGGAATGGAGTTAAAAGTGTGTGAACTGAATAATTAAACAGGTGTAGTTAATATATAAAAGGGAGATTTATTGCCATTCTAAATTCGTCAATGAATTAATGTTATAGTCTCGTCACTCTTGTTAACTTGGAAATATTAAGCAAGAGTCACGGTGGTAAATACTAAAGTACCAGGAGTGGACAAATATCAGTAGTCCGAGTCCTTGGTATTGTCTTGGCCTAA